ACAAATATCAAATTATGTTGTATACCTGAAGCTAATGATATATACTAATTTTACCTCAACTAAAAAAAAAATACGGTCAAAACCAACAAGTTCTATTCAATGGAATGTACGGCCACACCCTGCTCCCTGCCATCTCCTTCTCACCCCACATCTGTGCTCTGGCACATCCATGTACGTACGTACCTAATGTTCTCTGCACTGCAAAAAGTGCTTCTGAATGGCTCGTTGGTTAAGTGTCTCACTCTTGATTTCGGCTCAGGTCATGATCTCATGAGATTAAGCCCTGCGTTGGCTCACCGTCGGGCATGGAGCCTGCTTAAGATTCTCTTTCTCTCAGAAAAAAAAAAGTGCTTCTGAAATGATTCCCATCAGGGTACTAACACTGTTTAATACCCTTTAAATTAACACATACAAAATACAAACTGTGAACATAGTTTAAGTTAACAGTGACAACATCTAAACTGTTTTTCAGGGGTGCGTGGGTGGCTCAGATGGTTAAGCATCGTCCTTGGGCTCAGGTCATGATCTCCAGATCCTGGGACTGAGCCCCATGTCAGGCTCCCAGCTCAGCGGGGAGTCTGCCTCTGCCTCTCCCCCTGCTTGTGCTCTCTCTCAAATGAATAAGTAAAATCTTTAAAACAAAACAAAACAAAAACCCGAACTGTTTTCAGTTAGCCAAAATGCTGGAGTCACAACAGAGGAGGAGAGAAACTGGCTTTGCCAAGAACTAGCTATGTGATAGTAAGTCACTCACTTCCCAGGACCTCTATTTTGCCATCTATAAAATGGTAGTGTTGGTGGTAATATCTATAGTTCTGTATCCATGGAAACTATATCACGTGTCTCTCTCCTTCCCTCAGCAGAGCAGTTCCTCACAGGCACCAAAATGTCCTTGTACAGGGTGCAGGGAATATAAGAGCTTCTCCTCTAAGAGTTCCCTGTCCGAATGGACAGGCAAACCCATATGGAAGGATTATGTGAGGGCACAGCATCTTGCCAGGCACCTCAAATTTGTAAGAGGGCATTAGCTGTCCTTTAAGCTCCAGAGACGAGTACTGGTACTTCAAGAACTTTTCAGGGTGGCTGAGCTATTCAGGCCACTCCTGTCTTCTTTGCTGCCATCATCCTAATCCAAACCCTCCCTGAGCCTTGGAGGACTTCTTGCTGGCCTCTCTGCTTCCATTCTTGCCTTCCTAGAATCCATTCTCTACACAGCAACCCAGAATGATCAAAAAGTACTAACTTTTCTGTTTAAAATCCTCTAATCATATTTGTAAGTCCCCACAGAAGACAATCCAATCTCCTTTCCACCGCTTAGGTAGCTCTGGGCAAGCTCCTGTTTACTTCTCTGACCTCCTTTGTATCACACCCCTCCAGACGCACCTGGATACCAACCCTTATCTTATTCCTTGAATTTATTCCTTATCTTCTCCCAGGGCAGAGCTTATTTTTGCCTCAGGCCTTTGCACTAGTTGCAACCTGTCCTGAATCCTTTCCTGAAGTCTACATAGGGGTTGACGCCTTCAGGCCTTATTCTAAGGGTCACTCCTCAGAGAAGTCTACAGGACTTTTGGCAGCCCTCTCCCATTATGGTCTTTCATATCCCATCCAGTTCATTCTCAGAACTTAGGTCATTTCAGAGCTTAGTTATGTTCTTTCTCAGAAACTATCTTATTACTTATTTGATTGAACACCATTGCTTCTGTCCCCCAAGCAGAAGTCAGGGCTTCCTTGGTAGTTTACTGCTGTAGACAGCACCCTGAATTGGGCCCAGAAGGTATGCAATATACTGCTGACCTATCATACCCACTACTCACTTCTGCTTTTTACCAAAAGCCCAGTTGAGAAAAACCATGTTTACTGTGGATCGCCTGAAAAAGTTGTACTTCATCCACTCTTCTAAGACCTAAGTATTCTTAAGACAAATTAACAACAACAAAAGTCTGCTCTGAATGAAGGCAGAGCAGCAGAAGTATTCAGCTAAACCACCTATTGGCTTTAGGATGCCTTTCTAAATTGTGATTTAGCCTTCTCTGACCTAGTCAGGGATGTGCCAGGAAACAGCCCTATGATCAACGGTGCTGTTAAGAGGTTAAGGATATGACACTAGCTTTTCTTTATGGGGACCCTAGAGACAACTTTATCTCTAGTGTTTTAATCAGAAAGAATTGCTTGTACTATGTATCTAACATTGCCTTCTCTCCTGTACACAACAGCACACAGTGGACTAGGTCCTGCCCCTTGGTATGAACTAGGAGAGAAACAAGAGTCACTTCTGGCTGCCTAATGCACCAGATTTTACCCACTGCATTTTGAGGATCACCCCACTGCTAACTACTTCGTTTTCTTTCCTCTCAATGCTCTTTTTGCCCTGTTTTCTCATGCATTTATTTTTTGTGGTTTCACATTATGGTGAGCTGCCTTAAGTATTTTCTGGAATATGTCATTTAAGTAAATTAAGTATTAAGTGCTACAAAAGTAATATGCATAAAATAACAGGGTTAATAGGTGAAAGATCAACTGTTTCTAGAAATGAGATGAATACTTGAGGTGAGTCTTGAAGAAACAGCAGTTGCCAGCCAGGCAAGGGCAATCTGTGCAAATACAGAGATGAAGAAGGCACAGCCCTAATCAAAGGAAAATGAAGGAGAGACGAGTAAACCAATTCTTACATTTAGTAGTATCTGCTGAACATTACTCCATGTTGGACTCAATGCAAAGCACAACAACTTTTATTGCATTTAAAACCTCCAAACTGCCTTATGAGATAGATTTTATTATTATCCCCATTTATAAAGAATGAAACTGAGGCTCAAAGAGATTAATTAACCTACACAAGATCAGACAGATTGTAAGGGGCAGAGTGGGCACTCCTGTGACCTCTAACATCCACTCAACCGCTTAAGTCCTGACATTGTACCTCAGTCTACTTCTCTGCATGCCACTTTTGTCTGAGTTCCCATGATCTCTTACTAGGACTAGGGCAGCAGTAACTGAGAGACTGGATGCACAGTAATAAGGGGCAAGAACTCTGGAGCCAGACTGCCTGGTTTTCAGCTCAGGCTCTATACCTTACTAACTGCACAAACTTGGACAACTTGCTTAACCTCCTCGTGTCCCAGTTTCACCTGTAAACTGGAGTTAATAATTAGAACACTCCTTGACACATGATGAATACTACATGTTAGAGACCACTGAACTCCTCTCTTCCCTTCCCCTCATCATTCTTCACATAGTACATATAGTGTGGTGGTGGTTTTTGTTTTCTTGTTTTTAATGTAATTCTGATCACACAACACCAATGTTAAAAACTCATTCTCACTGCCCTCAGAAATCTCTGGAAATAACTTTTTAAATTTTAGAAAATATTTATCAACTTTGAGTTTTTCCAACATTTGGGGGCCTTTGCACAAGTGGTTCCCCTCCTGGAACACCAGTCCAAATACAACTATTTATTCCTCAAAAACGGGATTAACAGTAACTGTCTTAGGGAAGCTGATCTTTGAGAATGCATAAGCAATCTTTGTTACATGATCCCACAGTCCCCAACCTTGTACTTCCCTGCAGTAGCACTTGCCATTTGTAAAACTAATTATCCAACGTGTCTTTCCACCAGACTGCAACCTAAGAGGGGAGAAAAGGTCTTGCCTGTTGGTTCTGGACTGTAATCCCAAGGACTAGCCTTGACAGGATAAATAAAACTGGAATGAAAGAAAGCTGTAATTTCCCATGAAGTTCCTGGACCTTTAAGAGCCTCCCACTTCATTACCTGTTATCACAAATTTAGGCCTTTTTTTTCCCATTGCAGGCCCTTTAATGTGGAGATCCTGTCCATCCCCAACTTTTCAGAAATGATCTCTCCACAGGCATCACCCCTTACTGGCGACCTTCTCTTCAAATACAGCAGCCCTAGACACCCCCTTCCCTGATGTTAAAAGACTTCCTTCCTCCTTAACCTAATATCTTCTTAGGTTCTCCCTCCAGTTGCCCATCATGCCTGTCCACCTTCCTCACCGCGGCACCCTATTTTATCTCTGCTCTCAATCCGCAGATCATCCCGTAGGTTTCTGCACACATGGGTCCACCTGCCTTAAACTATCCTCACACAACGTTCCACAAACCCCATCTCTGCCTGCCGACCCTCCTCCCATTCCTGCCAACAAACCACCGTCCCCAACACATATACACAGACAAATCTCTTATTGTCTTATCTACCCCAGGTGGCCTCATCCCTACACTGGGTCCTCCTAACCCCCCCATGCACACTGCACACTCTCTGCCCTCCAGATACCCCACATCTACCCTTTTTAGATATTGTCCTTAACTCTCTCTTCCTACCTCCAGTCCGGGGCTAGTTCTCAGGCCTCACTGCGATCCACACCACTGTCTGGGGGGCTCTTCCCAACCTGCCCAGAAGAATCCTCCAGGTGTCACCCTGTGTACGCTGACACCCTTAGCATCCGCGTCTTGGAACTTCTCCCTTCGTCCGGGCCTGGCCCCAAACTTCCACCCCATCCCTAAAGTTCCCACACCCTCCAGCCCACCCTCCAGACCTCGGACCACCGGGGCAGGGTCTCCATCTCTTCCTCCCCTTCGCCACTCCTCAGACTCCATATTCTCACCAAGTGCTCCCTCATCACAAACGCGAATGGCCTGGACCCCTTCCCGGTACCACCCGCCCACGCACCGCTGCCCAACCCCCCCACCGCACGTGTGCTCCCAGCCCCCCTACCATCCTCCCAGCACACCCTCTGCAAGCCAGGCGCGGCCTCCGAAGAGCGGGCCGAGAGCCCGAGGGGCGCCCAGGGGGAGCAGGGGGCCGGGGAGAGGCCCGAAGGACCCGGGGAGAAGCGTCCGCGAAAGGCCGGCTCCCCGCGGGGTCGGATCACAGAGGCCGAGGAGCTCCCGGAAGGGGCCAGGGAGGCCAGGGGGCTCGGAGGAGGTCGGGGCGGCCGAGGGGCTCGGGGGAACCGGCGCGGGTGGCGGCGAGCGGGCCTCACCGTCAGTCACGGCTCCCATGGCGTGCGCGGCGGCGGCGGCGGCGGCGCAAGCTGAGGCGGCGGTTGGCGGCGGCGGCGGAGGTCAAACTCCCACAATGCAGCCGGGTAAACAGCCATGGAGGAGGAGGCGGCGGCGCCCGCGGCCGCCCGCTCCGACGCCTGAGCCGCGCTGCGCCGCCGCCGCCGCCGCCGCGGAATCCGCGCTCCCCGCGCTCTCCGCGCTCTCCACACGGCCCGGGGGCGGCCGCGGCCGGCGCGTGTGGGGGGCGAGGCCAGCGGGCGGCGGCGGCCCCGGCTGCAGCCCG